ATATATATATATATATATATATATATTCATGAGTTTATATGAGTTTGGTCATAATCTATATATATATATATAGATAGATAGATAGATAATGATGATTGATTATATATATATATATATATAAAATCAGTCACCATAATATATATATATATAATGATAAATCGCTTCTTTTTTCTTATTTTTGTCAAGTATTTGAGTTTGCTCTGCTACATTGCAACATGTCAATAAAACCATCAAAAGCTTCTATTTCTTCTTTGCTTCTGTTTTTCAATAGACACCGCATACCTATAATGTGCAAGTAGTTGAAATATAAAAAACGACATCAACGAAATGAATGAGATCATAAATTAGAGCTTATGAGAGGCACTCTCTGACAGAGAATACTACTAACATAAAAGCAGAAGTTTTAACGTAGCGAACTGATAATACTACTTTTGATTCATAAGAATAGAAACCAGTTCCCTTAAAAGTCATACACTGTCGAAGCAAATTAAGAGCTGCTCATTGATACCTATTAAAAATATTTTCAGTTCTCCAAAGAAACTGAGTATTACTGAAGCATCAAGTTAAAAAAGCAAATATCATAATACGAAAATGGAGGGTAATAATGTGCTTAACTTTATGGAAAATATATAATTAAATCAATGATGTTTTAACATAACCTTTACATAAATAATAAAATATTTTCTCTCATTCGTAATTAAAACATTTTTTTCTTCTCTTTTCATTCATTTAATAACGCTAGAATGTAAGTGTATCATAAATTAGCGTGATACCTGTGAGCAAATGCAGTCGTTTTCGCCCATACAACTCACTTGACTTCTGTGCTAACTCTATAATCGGCAAGGAACCATTTCGGAATCTTACAATCAAAGATGCATACTGTGAAAGTTCGTCTGTTGTTAAGCACTGTGTTAACTTTAAAAAAAATGATAACGAAATTACCTTGGTTACTTTTTTATCAACAGAAATTTTGTGCTACAATAAGAGATATCAGTAATAATGTGGAAAACTTTTAGTTTTTTCCGCCAAAGTTTTCAAAATGTATGCAATTACTTTTACTATATTTATGGCTGACCCACTATACAAGACAAGTGATAAATCCCTTTATAAATTAACTCTTTTAAACATCACAAAAAACTCCGAGAATGTTCTATGCATCAATGAAAACAATAGTATTGCCTCTGTACTCATTAAATATTTGAAAAACTCACCACAGTCATATATTCCTCTATGACATCACTGATTCGTATTTCCGCCGATTCACTATGAGAAGCAGTTGTTGAGTCGGGTGGCTGACAACTGCTAATGCGTAGATCCTGATGTGATTCTGTTAAACTGTAAGATAACAGAAAATTCCATATGAGGAACATATAAATATGGATTTCATTAATACGATGCAAGAAATCACAAAAAATTTTCAGGTCAAGTATGCCATTATTTAAAAAAACTGACAATAATGGACGATGAATGCTGGTAGGTGAAGTTGATGAGGCATTCAGTGTTTCTGAAACCAACAATTATTTTTGTTATGTCAATTAAAATGATCCAAGAACACATAGTGACAATGATTGTTAAGCACACAAAAGGAAGAAATTC